CAAGAGCGGCCTCAGTGTGAAGGCCTATGTCCATGCCAACCCAATGTCAGACAAGCAAGCGGCTTATCGGCTCAATCCTGGCTTCTTCGGTGGCAGTTGGCAAGATCCTGGACCTGTGATTTGTGCAGTGGTGCTTTGCTTGCTACTCTCAGGCTGGCAGGCTTGCCGTGGTTTCAGCCGAGAGGAACAGTTTTTGAATGTGATGTCCGCGTACTACTTGGTCCTTCTTGGCTTCTCCACTGCCAGAACCAAGCACGGCTCGAATAGCTCAAAGCACTTCTGGCACATCACTACTGTGCGTAACTTGCTCAGCTTGGCAGGCCATGCGGTGTTGGCCCATATTTATTGGGACCGAGAAGTCCCATGGATGCCTCGCTGCAGGGAAGAAAGAATTTGTGAGCACATGTACGGAGAAGCGAAGAAGCCTTTTAGAGGAAGCCCTTCCTTCAAGGATGCTCTCTATGGCTTTCAAGCCCACCATGCGCGGCTCCATCAGAAAGGTGTTCCGACGCCGCAAGGCGAATTTGTGGAAGCCTTGGGAGTAGATCGGGCATCCGTCTTGGCCGAGCGTGCCTTGGGCGCCGCTTGCAGATTCTTTTGCAGCGTCTCCACCAACCTGCGGCCCAAGGAAGCTGCGGCAGAGCTGCGCCTTGGCAGCACGGATTTAGGACAGACAGCTTTGTTTTCTCGAAGATGCTTGAGCCGGCTCGGGCAGGTCACGCCGAAACGACACAATAGTTGGGTTTTTGCTCATCGACGAAAGCCACCCCAAAATGAACGTTTTGGTTGTATGCTGCGCGCCTTCCATCACATCCATCACCTTCCTTATCAAATCTGACTTTGTAGAGGGGTGGAGCCCACGCGGAATTTGCTCACACGCGCGTGGACTTGCTCGGTTGTGCGCGCCGCTTTTCTCTGCTGAACGAATGATTGAATGATTGAAGGAAGGAAGGAAAGAAGGAAGGAAGGAATGATTGAATGAAATGAAAGAATGAATGAACGAATGAAATGAAAGAAAGCAAGAAAGAATGAAGGAAGGAAGGAAGGATGCAGAGCATCTGTGTTGCATGGTACTGCCTGGAATCAATGAGCAAAAAGAGATCATCATGCAGTTGAATCTCCAGAGCACCTTTATTAACGCGAGCATGTGTGTGGAGACCTGACCCAACGACATATCATGCAAGAATCACATATCGCGTACACATCACATCAACTCAATTTGTGTGTGCGCAGGTGAGCGAAATCTGTGTGCGCGGCTGAGTTTGAGGTAACATGCACTGTTCAAAGAAGAATGTAATGGAAGAATGCAATGGACGTGTGCGCAGGTGAGCGAATCCTGTGTGCGCAGGTGAGTGAAATGTATCATGAAATTCTGCGTGCGCAGCTGAGCGAATCTTGCGTGCGCAAGTGAGGCGCCGTCCCCTTGTAGAGCTAGTGGCACCGCTGGGATAGTCGTATCCTTATCAAATCTGACATTGTAGAGCTAGTGGCACCGCTGTGGCGCTGCTGAGATAGTGGTATCAAATGCGATTTTGTAGAGCTAGTGGCGCCTTGGATGTGTGGCGCGACAATCACTGGCAGGAAGGACAGTTGATTTGTGATCATGTTCTTTCATGTTCCTTCTTCACTTTTCCATTTTGAACACCTTCCACCTTGAACCTTCATCCGCGGGAGCCGCTGTGTCATTAACCGGTTTTGTCATCCCTGTGTTTTTGACCATGTGACCGACGCCGGGCTCTCCGAGGGAGAAGTGGTGGCACCGCGAAGGGCGATGTCTGATCTCCAGTGAGAAGGCCGCTGGAAGCTCGACTGATGAGGCCGGTGACCACGAGGAGGAGGACCTAGAGTCACCGGAGCTGGACATCACCGATGCCTCTGCAAGCGAGCGGTTAGAGAAGACAGTTGTCTCCAGCCAAACGGAATCCAGGATTCTTGTTGCGGAAGACCGCGTTGAGCTCTTGCGTTCCCTTCAAGCTGAAGAGCTCTGTGTAGAGCATGATCAGCATGAAGCTGACACCATGGAGGTGGTGCCTATTGAAGACCACGCGAGCCCGAGAAGCCTGATGGAGATTTTAAGCCACTGCACGCATCCTGCTTTTGATTTCGACCAGGAGGCAGCCATGAAGGCTTCTTCTTGTTTAACTCGCCTCCATCAGTTGCTTGAGCCTTGCCGAGCATTTTGTGTCCGCGTACGGCTGTCAGAAGGAATCTTGCCACCTGCCCAGGTTCGGGGTAAGGGGGCCACTTGTAAGAGCCCTTACCACTTCATTGCTCACGAGCTGGCGCTCGCAAGACAGAATGCTGGCATCAGCGGCGCCAATGTGTCTAGAGCAGAAAGATGGCTTGCGCATCAAAAGGCCTTTTGTGAACAGCTTGCATCTTCCTGCCAGAGCGATGGTAAATATGTTCGTGCTGCACAGAATTTGCGGCCAGCATCCGCTCCAAAGATGCAGTTCGTCGTGTATCGGCAGCCAGATGGGCCAGGCCTGAAGTATGGAGTTGGGCTTGTCTCCACTTTGTTCAGGGGCAGCGTGACGCAAACCAAGCGTACTGTCACAAAGCCTGTTGGCTCAGAAATCCCGGCTGCGGTCATCAAGGTGGCGCACGTTGTCAGGATGCAGGACCATGGCAATGGTGTCTTTACGGCGTCGTGTCTACGAGCGCTCGACATTGTGGAGCCAATGGAGTCAATCGTATGTGAGATGGAGCCCAAGAAGCTGCAGGAGGTTGGCCTCATGTTGAAAGTTTGCTTTGCGCCCGAGCAGACCGACATGCTGAGCAAGCTTTCGTCGGGAAATTTGGTGCCGGCGCAGTTGCCACGGCCATCTGACTCTGAGTTCTTGACAGCCAACAGCTTTGGGCGCCACAAGGAGGGGTATTCACGGATACAGCATTGGCTTGGCCAGCTTCCGAAGTTGTACCAGAAGGCCGACGTGGATCTCTTGAAGCGGTTGAAGCTTCCGGCGGGCACTACGTGGCAAGCCTTCTGTGCGCAGGCGCCTGGCTATTTCCAGTCAGCTGGAAAGAGCCTCTCCAACGCAGAGTTTGGTGAGGTCGTGGTGCACCGCTTGGCAGAATTGGCGCCTGGGGAAGGGGCCAAGAAGAATGCAGCTTGGCTGTTGATGGTATATGGTACTATGGCCAAGTTTCCAACTTTGACGCAGGAGTTCTTTCAAAAAATATTCGGAAAGCCTTTACCATTGCCAACCATGAGATGCCTTTCGGCCCCCCACAGCTAGCCACAGCCACCCACCCCGCATGGAGATTGTGTATAGCGTAGACTCTTCTGGACATGCTTACGTAACCCATTACCTTCGCTGGCGAGGTACAGCGGGTGCAGGAGTTCGTGGGGCTGGTTGTGAAGCACTCGCCGCCGGTGCTTGTCCTCGGGGTCTGACCAACGTTGCAGCGTTGGTGAAAAGTGAGCTTTGTGTTCGGGCTGCTCCACATGTTCACAGTAATTGCAGACCCGATCTTGTTTGCGCATGTTTGCATATGTGTGCGCATTATCTTGGACTGCCTACTGCTTGCCTGGACATGATCGCTGGTTAGCAGGATGTTTTGTACTGACGTAATGCTTAAAACCATGGTTTTTCATGGATTTTGTTGAACGCACGGAACTTTTCTAGCCTTAGATTTGGAAGACTGAGAAAGAATACTTCAAATGGAATTAGCATGGACGCACTGGTTCAGCTGCTTAATATTAAACTTTAGAGAATGTTGCTTTGTAAGGCATGACCAGAAGGCTGCCCGTGGGCGCCTTGCCTTGGATGTGCCTGGAGCTGAGAAACAAGATGTCCCGTTTGCCAAACTTAGGTAGAACACTCTCTGCATTTTGTGGTGGTGTGAAGCGGACATACAATAGATGCTTTCAACCAACATGGATCTTCACGCACACGCTTGTATGTGATTTTTCACATACGGCCAATCACAGTGAATATACCACTCTGAAGTGGTAAACATGACAGGCCTGGCTGCCATAGTGAGAGCGGGTAAGCCAGCATGGTGGCTGCCATTGTCTAGATGACTGGCACTTGCATGTGATGCTGTGATAGGCGCAGCTAATCAACCTGCACTGCAAAATTTTTGCTTCGGAACTAAGAGATGCTGCGGATCACCTGTGAGCGCCGGCTTGCTCTAAAGCTTTGGTTTGGCCATAAAAATGGTGGCTCTGTCGATTTGTAGTTTGCCTTTGATGGCTGGTTGCGAAACGAAGCTAACTGGCCGGACCTGTTTTTTGGGGGCAAAACGCCCAAGACTCTGCAAAAGGTGTTGCTGAGCTGCGGCTTGTTTGGACGACTGACAAACTGACAGTTGTGCCACGTGACATTAATTGACGTGAAATGGTTTCGTTTGTAGCTTTTGGCATGTTAGCATAGTCAAGTCCAGTGGATGTTTGTTGCGCTGTTCTATATGTCTAAAGTTTAAGTCGGCCCTCTCCTTTTTGCACAGAGCTTCGTTGAACATATTGAACATCAAAACCAAACACATATGTTATATATGCAATTAGATACAAGGTGATGGTTGCGGATGTTTGAAAAGGTGGGAGTATACTCCGAAGCAGATCAAAATGAATTCTGGGGGGTCCTAGGTACCCCCTGCTTAAGACATGGGCTATACAAGTGTATCACTTTATGGCCCTCCGGAGCTTAAAGAATCAGGCATTTCGCTTACATCCTCTCTCTCTCTCTCTCTCGTTTGTCTTGGCTTTGCTGGTCTCGCTTCACATGAAGCAATACAAAACGATACCCCTGTACGATCAAAATATTGTCTTTCAGATCTGAATGCCGTATCAGTTGAGGAGACTGACAAGAGAGGAAATTCCTGCGAACAAAAACATCAGCCAGTTCGTGACAGTTGGAGGACGACTTCTGGTCTACCCCATTTATCCCCATTTGGGGGCCTATCTCGACTTCCCCAAGGAACGAGGGCTCTCATGTGAGACCGCAGTCGACCGTTCGTTGGGGTTTCTGTGACGGTGAGACCGCTCCCAGTCTAAGGCCTGTGCGGCGTCCCCCAAAGCGGCTGCTGAGACGCTCGGGCACGCGAAGTGAGCGGGGCAAGAGAAGTGAGTGCGTCTGGTAGCGGATTCGATATAGCAGGTGGTGCAGAAATACATCCATGAGTATCCCTACAGTAACCGATCTATGGTCTTAGCAGGTCCTTTCAGATGATAACTTATTTACCCTTTCCTGTGAGAGTGCCTCACATCTACCGCTGGGCCGCGAGATGTGTCGATCCTGCGATCCCAGGATTTGCCCAGCGAAGGGCTGCAAGAGCAAGTTGACTGCGATGAACTCCGTCGTTTGCGGAGAGTGCAAGACCAAGGCCTCCTACTCCTTAGTTGTTTGCATTGTAGAAGAATGGGATCTTCGCAAGGGCCATGTGTTTTCGAAGTCTAACGTTCACGAAGGGTACGCCATGGTACGTCGAAGTTACACAGAGTCTTTGTACAAAAATATACAAAGAGATTGATACAACATGTGATTAAAGACCCTTTAAATCCCTCACCTTCACGATCTCCTAAACCGACCATATACAAATTGAAGACGTTACCATCTACCACAAATTCAGCACCTGGAGTCTCAAAACACCACAGAATCCTCGATACAGACCATTGCCGATGGTCCATGCCGCATGGCCTTTTGATTCGGACGTTCGCGTATGTCCAATGATACAGCTGGTACCATTGTGGACCTGTCAACCACGATACTCAGCAACCTGGCGCGTTCGGGATCACCGGACATCGCAGGTTTGCCTGAAGCACCGTTTCGAGGCGCGGAAGGCATCTGATCGGTCGGTGGGTCAAACGACCAACCGGTCCGAGGTGTCTCACCAGGATGAGACTTGAGCGATCGATCTTGAGGTTCCAGGAGGTCACGGTCGGCATGAGATGAAGGTCACTGGATGAGACGATTGAGACGAACAGAAGAGGTCGGATGAGGATCCTGGAATCCCTTTGTTCAAAGAATCTGACCCTAAAGATTAAAGACCTCATTTTGCTGCCTGTGGTCCTACAAAGACACCAATGAGGTTTTTAGGACCGGGTTCTTTTGGGGTCAGACTGGGCCTGTAGAGTGAGAAGGTAGCGCACCATGTTGCAGCCTCCAAACTCACAGCAAACGTTCCCAAAGCAGTCTCTCCTTCCTTGAGAGCGATCTGTTGAGTGTTTGGATTCAGTTGGTGGACGGGGTGTTTGCAGCTGGGGCAGGGTGTAGGGCTTGTCACGGTCGAGGTAAGGGATGATTTCCCAGTCCCTGACAAGTATAGTTTCAGGTAAACACATGGTTGAGACAAAGTCTATGATAAATATCCATGTTCTTTCTCGACGGTTGAAGTGATAAAGCTTCAAACCTGCATTTGGTGACAGGTTTGGCCACAACCAAGCATAGGGCACATGTTGGCCGTCCAGGTTCCATTCACATGAATTACACATGGACGGCTGATTTGCTTCCGATCTGTTCTCTTTCGGCCCATGGTCCGGTCAGCAGGTTCTGTAAAGAGATGCAGCTGGTTTGGCGCAGGAATGTCTAGTTTGCCCATCTCTTTAAACACAGAGCAGTGTGAAGTTGGGGTTTCGATATCGCAGATGTTTAACAACAGGCCCGCTGCATACCTCCCTTTGCAAGTATCCTTTCTGTTTAACAACAGGCCAGCGTTTGGAATATCGACCTCACTTAGAATCAACCACCGTTCGCTATCCCTCCAAAGCACGCCAGTTTCTTCATCTCGACTGACTATATGCTATCTTTAGCAAGAAGGTTGACAGATGGGGGTGGTTGACAAATCTCGGGGTTTTGGGATCCTTTCCTTTACTCACCCGTGTCGTGTCCCACGCGAACAGACTGCCAGGACCAACATCCCTGCCGTGAGAGCAAGGCTGAGTGGTTGTCCAAGTTGGCCGCTCCAAAGACATCGGCGGGTCCTACCGGGACTGCACTGGTGATACACAGAACCATTCAATATTCACCCTGCTGGGTCCCTGGGTTATTCCAGGGACAACCTGTGCCACAACGCTTGGTATATACATATTAATATGTAGTTATACCACCATACCTGATACATAAGAACGGCCGTTTGCTTCTCTTTTCCGCAGGACGACCTTCTGGGGCTCGGGCACTTTGGGGACGACCACTGCGCCGTTTGGCACTGGCGTTCCGTGGTCGGGGGACGTTCGGTCTTGTGGAGGCTTCCGAAAGCTGAGTGACCTCTATTTTGGACCACCAACCACCCAAACGAATTATGGTGCTTTTCTATCAACACAGAGGTCAAATGGGCTCTAGATTTGAGGACATATTGGGTCAATGACTTTTTTGGGGGAGGCATCTTGATGAAGCTCCATGGACATCCGATAGACAAATGTTTAGAAGTCATTCATTGGTTCATGAATAAGTCGTCAAACTCCATCCACGACATGTGCTTTTGGATGATATACACTGATGCAGCGTCTCAAAACACACAATTCCTTTATCAATCCATGAGGCAGTAGCCTTCCGTTATTTTTTGAGTTGCTGAACCCTGAGACTTTGTATATGCGACAGCTTTGTTCTTTTATCATGACTGTTTCAACCTCGTTTGCTGCGTTTGCCGCTGTTGCTTGGACACGGCCTTCCCTCTCACCAAAACCAGGAAGGAGGAGACGCCACCCAAACCAGCGGAGGTGGGCCGCACCAGCGGAGGTGATGGAGAATGGGCTGAGTGAAACATGTATGGCTGCGTAGTATAGACCCATCACATGTTCACAGATAGATCACCATGTTCAAAGTGCGTGAAACGTTTGTGTATAATATTGTATTATTCACCATGCAGTTGTTTTTCCTTGGTTTCATTTGACACAACGACTTCGCATCTAGGTGCGTGGGCTCTAGGTGCCGAATTGTTCGATGGGATAACTCTGTCGATGGCAAGGACGAACCGCTGCAGACACTACCGCGACCCCTTATAATTGATCCACCTGACGGTACAATCCAATTGTAAAAAATCTATATATGTTCCTGGATCTTCGCAGTGACTGAACTTGATTCCCTGGTTGGTTCGGCCACAAGTTCCAGGCCTGGTTTGAGGGGTTGGACTCCAAAGTTCGGTCACGAACGGAAGGTCCTTGGTAGTGGAAACCTTTCCTTTAACGTGTTGACTCACTCACTCACTTACTCACTCTCACTCTCACTCCCTCACCCACCACTACGACGATATCCAGGTGTCGGCGCCACAGCTGCTAGAGCTGAAGAGTCGCCTGGGCGGCACAGAGGAGCAGAAGGCCGTTTGCCTACAGACCCTGCGTGCCTTGGTGCGGCACTGTCGTCACTTGGTGGGGGAATGAGATCGGCTGTAGGCCGAGATCGGTGGTGGGTAGTCCTACAAATCATTTACTGAACTTGAAGGATGACTGCCATGAAAGACTTAGAATAGTATAGTTTTGGGATGTGTCAGAGGACAGTATGAGCATGTCAGCCTGGGTTTCCAGGTCGCTTGCTGTCCAACGTCCAGAAGGACCCCACGAACGCCAAGTACCGCCAGGTCCGCCGAGAGAATCAGGCTCCGCGAGGGTCACGGGGACAGCGCTGGATGCGTCGATCCGTCAGGGACGGCGAGATCGATCCGTTGATCCTGTCAGTGCTTGGTCTGTTCAATTTAGAGAGTGTAGCACGAGACAGAGATGGCACGAAAAGCGGTATAAAAGGCGCTGGGGGAAAAGGCCAGGAGCTCAGGACTCGTCATCCCAGTCCTCCAAATCGCTGGTTGCATGGATAAGTCATCACACCTGAGCACTGGAACGTACTGGAACGCTTAATCGGACAAAGGAAGACTGAAGGACACTTCCTTGGTGGTTGCGACACTTTTGAGGCCAGGGGTCCTGACCAATATCGACGCATGCAGGCCATCAAAGAGAAGATACTCGATGTCCCTGGCGCTGAGGACGGCCATAGTAGACCCCTGCTTCCGGTAGAACTGCACTTCTTGTGCAGCTGACACAAGGCATGGTAAACCCATACCACTTGAAAGAGAGGGGCTGCTGTTCGGGCGGCCAACATGAGCTGGGCCCCACGAGTGGAGCGTTCAAGACCTTCCAAGACCCACAAGTAGAAGAAGCTCGCAAATAGTTGCTTAGGAGTCGGGCGGTTTGGTGGAAACATAGGAATTATGTGGGCGGCTATTCTTACACAGGACTGACTTTTAATCTTTGTACACTTGTCTTGCGTCAGCTTCGAGGGCGTGAGCTTGTTTTGAGTGACAGAACGGACTGCCGAGTGACCAGACAAACACAATGGCACCGTTCGCACTTCAGTCCCAGGCTGTAGCGATCGGACACAAGGCCAAGAGATCGGTTTCTCCGATTGAAATAGGGTGCCCTGTTACAGTTTTTTTACAGAGGCTTTCTTCTCACTCCGAGCTTTCTGTTTTAGAACTGAACCTGCACCTCACAGTTCTTCAACATCGACTTCCAAATAGACCCCAACTGAAGACGGAACTCGCTCTAATCAGCTTTCTTTTGCCAGTATTGGATGGATTTAAGTACTGTAATATGCTGCATTCATCTGTATTCATATCTTGGTTCAATCCACTGCATGTAGTCGATTGAGGCAGAAGATGCGCACGGTAAAACAAGAGGACAAACATCGGAACTCACTTCAATCGTCCAACCTAACGGGTTCCGTTTTTGCCCGTTGGATTTGTCACCTCCTACACTCCCGGAGACTAACATGGACCCTGTGGTTTTGGCACCCTCAAAATTTCTCTACAATCTAGTGGTTTTCAGGGTCTATGTTAGTCTTCAGTGGGGTAAGTGTCAGGACTTCATGAAAGCCTTAGGCTTCGAAGAGCAGGGCGAGATCCTCCAGCTGCCTGAGGGCGTCTCACTGAAACGCATTGACGCACTGCTGCGGCTGGTCCTGTGACAAACATGTGTCGAGGTTGCTTGGGTTGGTGGTGCACAAGTCCATGTTTGGTGTTGTGACAAATTGCTGACTTGGCTGCGAATTGCATCTGCACTGTCCACATTTGGGGGAGTTGTTACAGTGTTACATCGCAGGACACTAGCACTCAGATCCTTCATTTTCATGCTGTGAGATGAATGTAACGCAGCTATCACTTGAGCTTCAGATTATGATGTATATTGATGTATTATATAGTCGTGCACCACATGTTTCTCAAACAAAACATGCTGGCCAATACCACCAATTCAATTTCTTTGCAGTGTCAACTGTTTTTTATCGCTGGTCCTTCAGCACCATGGACAAAGTGTTGAATAACTTGCGTTCGATCCAAACTCGTTGTGATTGTGGCATTGGGGAGAATCGTCGCTTGTCTTACCAGAGCGCGCACGAGATCTATTTGCTGGCGGGAGAAGTGGCCGGCCAGCTTCAGCTTCAACTGCCTGCAATACAAGAACCTCCACGTGGCGGCTTTCAGCCAGAAGATTACGCCCCCTTGGTCTGCGCAGAGGCAGAGGGGTTGATTCGTTTGATTCGGCAGTATGAAGAACAGCTCGGGAAACTTCCATTTCTGCGGACAGGAGCAGTCACAGAGGAAGTCGGGAAATTGACAAAACAACTCGACAACATCCGGTCTGCTATGAGTGAAGTAATGAGACTCTGCCCAGAGAACTCCGATGTAAACTCATCGCAGATGCATAGTGAGACACGGGAGACCACTGCATCCAATCAAAGTGCCGCTTCAATGAAGGTTGCAGTCAAACTCATGCATTGGCTTCAAGGCAGGGGCTATCCAAGAAAAGACAAAGAATTTGATCGCCTGCCAGACTTTCTTGACTTGCATGACCTTGGAGAAGCTTTGCTTTGTGAACTCAATTCAATGGTTGTTGACTTCGACTTGACACTGGATGGCACCATTCTTCAGAATGAAAACACCAAGCAGGTACTGAAACGATTGAAGGGTGAAGGCTCACGAGGTGTTTGCATTTTTCTGGTGCTGAAAGGGGATCAGCTCGTTAGCATACCAGCAGACAAAGCAACAAAAATCCTGGTGTGTATCGATGGCAACATCGGGTCGCGAAAGTCTGACTTTATGAAGAAACTCTTGGAGATCAATGAGAAAAGTGGGCACCAGCAAGTCAGAGTGATCAGGGAGCCATTGAAAGAACTGGAAAGTGATCTGACTGAATTCTGGAATGCTGTGGAAGCGGGGGAGGATGCCTCGGACGAGCAGCGTGCCCAGAGTTCTCGTTTCGAAGAAACCATGTTTGATCACCACTATCAAGTGGCTACGAACCCAGACTTGAGAAGAACACATTTGATTTCGGAGAGATCAATGGAAGCAAAGGTTCATGTGTTCAACGAGCTCACCTTTAAGAAGGGGAAACTTCTCAAGGAGTCCCGAGATGAGATGCAAAGGAAGTTCCACGTTAATATCCGTGGACAAAAATGCTATCAACCTCATGCAGTGGTTTTCTTCGAGATTTCAGTCCAGAAAGCTCATGAGAGAATCAAAGAGCGTAATCGTCCAGGCGAAGAATATATCACCCAGGACTATTTGACGGACATTGAAGCCAAGTATGCCGCCCTCTACCCACCTTCTGCAGCCAATGTCATCCGACTTGACTCAGATCAGCCAATGGAAGACCTTCTCGTTGCTGTTCAGAGCGAGTTGCCCAAATTGCTGAAGAAGCAACAATGTGCATCAGACGAAGAGATTGACAGTTTCACACAGTTCTTCCAAGATGTGCGCAGTGAGCCCTCTAACTAAGAAAGATGCGCAACGGTCCTCAAAGCAGACCGAGTGCGCTGCAAGTCTGGGTCGAAGGCAACCCCAGGTCCATCATGACATGTATAGAACACTCGAGTGACTGCTTTCTGGAGCATCCAACAAACAAAAGGTCTTTTGGATTTCACACGACTGCGCTGATTTTGTGGGCAGTCATGTGTATTTTGCTCGCATTCCACATACTGCACACAAGACCAGGATCTCATTCGACACCTCAGGGTCACCGGAGTCACCGCCAGGCGTGTCTTCTCAGCGCCCGTCTTGGTCGCCCCCCGTGGCGTGCCGAAGGCTGCGAGTCCGGTGCCGCAGGCGTTCTGCCGGTGGGCGGAGGAGGTTTGGGTGTGGCTTACCCACGACTGGCAGGTCTTGGTCTATGGAAATTTGTTCTATTTTTAGTGAGTGTTTCTTGTAATGACAATGAATGGGTTTGGAGAGTTCCCCTATTAATTGTTAAGCCACTGTTTGAGCCATCCTCATTTGAGTACTGTTAAAAAGATGGACCCGTAGCCTTCGCAAAGGCAATTGGTGTGACGCATGATTTGTGGTGAGGGGATCGTCCTTAGCGTCGTGGCTCTTGGATGGAAAACAGAGGCGGAGCCAATTTACCAAGGCCAACTTGTTAAATGAAACCCTTTGGTCTTGGTAAAGGATGAAACCCTCTGGTTTTTATGGCCAATTTGCCAGGGCCAATTTACCAAGGTTTGAAAGTTTGAAAGGTTGAAACCCTTTGGTTTCGTGCGAGGCCTTGCCATTGACACAACTTCTGGCCCACAAATAAAGCCCCAGCACAGATATACTTGCAGCACTGTATAGTATAGGCACTTTACATCACAAAAGGATTGAAACTAGTACGGTTCATTCGTTCAACGTTCATTGGTTTCCTGGTTTGGAAGTCATTGGAAGTCTAGGTTTGCGACTCAACACCATCCGGATTGTTGATCACTACTGTAGTGAGTTGGAAGGGGACTTGCAAGCATTTTGCTACACAATCATGGCAGGAGTGCTTTTGCATTAAAACATGTCCCAAGCTTAAGCATTGCCAACGATTGGAAAGAAATCCTACTTGCGAAACTCTCGCAATGGCAAGTTTTGCACAGAAGCCCAAAGGTGGAGGCATTCAATGACGTTTGAGCCTTGACCCAATAGGCCGTAATAAATCTGACTTCAAACAAGATCCTTCTGCTGATGAGTCTCCTGGTCCCACAGCATCAGCATTTGAGGTAACACGCCACTGGTGTTGCACCGTTGGTTTGGGTATTTCTCGCCAGGCATCGATACCAACGCCTGTTCCTTGGCACACCACAGGTGCACTGGGGTCAAACGCACCGAGCTGTGAAGAAGCGAAGAAGACTCAGGTCTGTCCCATCTGCAAGACGAGTCATCACCGGTTTGAGAGAAATCCCTACTGACATATATTTATAGGCACTATAGTCAGCATCTTCATGGTGAGTACGAAGGTCCTGTGCCATCACCGTGTAGATGTGGCGGTGTCGATCTGAAGTGAACAACACTTGCTCCAAAGACCACAGGTTTAACCTATGTTCAACTGAAGTGGGAGTCTTGCAAAACGGTTTAAGAGGAACTTGAGACATTCCAAATTTGAATGGCCAGCTCAAGTTCATTTGTGCAAGCCTGACGTTTTGTTTCCCTTTGTGAGCACTCTTCTTTCTTCACAGTCTGAAAATTGTTCGTCCCAGACCACCGACAGCACATGTGTCCAAAAGCCACCGACCATCATCGGCATTCTGAAAGCACCTTTGTACTCATTGGCATCTCTGTTTGCCTCATGCATACCAGCATGAAGTGAGAAGCCATATGGATCCACATACCTTCTCAGAAGGTAATTGGACCCCTCCAAGCCTGCATAGTCTCCAATCACCTCCTCAGAAGGTATGTGGATCCATAGGGAAGAATACAGAATACATGAATGCAGCATGTGAAGGTGATCGGAGTGTAGCCATCAAAATCCACCGAATGCGAATGCGTTCCCCAAATCAGATCATTCCAAGGCTTCCCTGCTTTGGAAGTCAATGCTTTTCAACCCAAACCGAAACTGCGTGTACAACTCCTTGACCTCACAGAATCTACTATGGAAGTGAAACAATGTGAAACAAACACCCGAAGATAGACCCATTGGGCCTATCGTGGGTCATGTTGCCATTTGGTGTGCACATGCTATTTGCCAGCCTACAGAATCTGAATGACCTCCAAAAAGGACTTGGCAGTCCCTTCAGGCCCCACACTCGCGGTCGCAGGCGCTTGCTGTGCAGCGCCGGCAGCGGCCTCGGCGCCGCCTGGGCACCAGGCAGTGGCCCAAGGGCTGAAGCGACTCTCCAATCACTGCAAGGTTCTCCCAATGGGTGGTTCCCTGCCTACCCATTGGGCGGTTTGCTGTGAGTTTAAGGACTGATTCATTTGGACATCTACCAGTATCCACCTGCATGGATGTGTTACTCATGGATTTATTTGGGCATGAAGCGGCATGAAGTGCTCAGCAAAATAGGGAAAGTGCTGATTCATTTGGAAGTGACGCTACGTTCCATTCTGAAGTGCTCAGCAGCTCGCTCCCCCCCAAAAAAAGCCAGCCAGCAAGCTCGCGCGCTTCCGTTGGCCCATTCGTCCTGTGGGTCCTGTTGATCCCTGTCAAAGGCTGTCAAAGGCCTGCGTTTGTCCCTGGAGTCATCAAGTGGATGGCAGTTACATTCCGAAAAAAAACAATTAACACCTACTCACATCTCATGGTGAGTTAGAGTGTATGCGAAGTTGTCATCCAGCAAAACCTGGACGCGCGAACTGTGGCACACTCTCTCACAAGGCCGTGTGCATGGTGCCCAAACTGGCCTTGGGAGCTGTGCTGGGAAGCCAAGAAACATCAAGAAACCAGAGACGTCGGCTTTTCTTGGCCAAACCAACTTCAATCAGCTGAGATTGGCATCACCTCCCGCATCACTCCGTATAGGCGACATAGAGACTACAAAGTAACGTCGTGTATGTATGCCATGGTTTGCTTCGGGGCAGACGGGGTCTACCCCACTTATTCTGAGGAGCAAGGAAACTCTGGTAGAACTCCCTCCAAAACAAGTGATGCTACCCATCATCCCGGGGACCCGCGTACTGAATGTTTGCAGCAACTGGGCTAGATCAGGCAAGTCCTCAAGTTTAAGCTTAACTGAATAAAAGCAGGGCTTATATATTGTAATATCAATATGCAAATGCAGGATTTATGTCAACTGTGTGGGCAAGTCATCAAAGCTCCACGCTTACTTGGCAGTTAAAATAAACAAAGTTCAGACCATCCAGACCCGCACATCCTTTTTTGGCTCAAGAAATCGTGTGCATTGGCCATCCGCTCATCTAAGATGGCCCTTGGGCTGCAGCTGAAATGTGGAAAGCGCGTCGTGGAGTCGTGGAGGTTGTGATTTTTTCAAGAAAAATACATGTGTCCTTTTGCTGGTTGATTCCCGGCAATGATGAAAAAGCACAACACAATCAACACATTACATAACCTGTTGATACCTGTTGCATCCTTCGTCCCATCAAGAGTCCCTCTTGTCCGTAGCCCTCCCAATGGATGCCAACGTGTCATCGGCGTTTCGGACGTTTTCTCCAGTTGAAACACCGCCGAGCTGTGAAAAGGCCAGCCATTTGCTGCTGCTTCGACATGGCACGCCCGTGCCGGAAGAGGAGAATCCGGAGCGGCCGCTCTCGGAGCAGGGCCGAAGAGAAGCAGCGCCTTGGTGAACCAAGGGGGCTACAGATCAGACCAGCTGAGGATGTTGATGTTGGCAATGATGTTCCGTGATATCCGGAGATTTTGCAACAGAGCTCGCCACTGTTGCAGTTGGTATTGGTTGCTTTAGGATAAGTTGGATGGACTGGGAAGATGCAGTACTTGGAGCTTGTGGGATGATCGAGACCTCAGTTTCTCCATATACAGAACTGTAGAGATCTACCTACCTGGATATTCCAACATACCTGAGCTGTGCATGGACTTGGACTTGTCAAGTATCCATGGTCAAGGGTACTTTTAAGCGTCCAAAGTGGGAGTCCAAGTAGGGTTGCATTAGCGATGCAGGAGTTGTTCACAGATCATATTACTTTGTGAAACATTTGTTGATGCAGATAGCGTTGCTTGCCTTTCAAGATAGATGCCTTGATTGATGTTTGTTACGTTTGTTTGGCTGCAGGTTCCCCTTTCAGACTGGTATATTGTCATATTGCTGCTTTTGATTTGGCTTCTTTCATCAACGGAATTGTTTGGTCAACGCACGGCGCTTAAATATGAGCATGAGTCCAAAGAGGGAAGACTCATTCATGTTTTTCCTGCATGGACATCAATCCCAGAAGATTCAGATGTACCGTGTCAATCGGTGCTCCCAAGATCGACAGAATCTAAAATGGACGCATTGACGCCATAAGAGGCGACCTTTTTCAACCAAGGCACTCTAGACATGCAGAACTAAGAGGACCTCTCACAGTTTTGATCAATCAAGGTATATATCTATATAACTTTATGACTTTTATGAACTTATATGTGCTTATTATATAGAGAATGGGATGGTTTTACGGTCTTCTGGTCTGCTGATCCTCCCAGCTGTCTCGGCGAGCGCCAGTCGCTCACGCCGAGGAGGACGTGGCAAAGAAGGTCACCAGCTACATGTCTTCCACCGAGGGCCCAGCACGGAACACAGTGATGGAGATCTGGAGACTGCACAATCTGGACAAAACACATCAAAACACCATTGGACAACAAGAAAAACAGTCAAACGGTCCTTTCTTTTAGTTGTCAAACTGACCAACTTTGATACCATAAGTCTTACTTCTACACGAGAATCACCCATGTATGTATAATATATATGTATCATGAAATGAATGTCAAAACGTCAGTGATCGTCAATTGAAGCATTTCCCAAAACTCAGATCTTCCTGGGCCACAGCGGCAAGCTCCGCGCCCAAGAAACTGCGGAGTCCGTGGCATCCGCCCTGCGCGCGGCGGGGCGAGAGGCGGACACGGGTGTGACCGGTGTGACACCGATGCGGGAGGAGGGTGAAAGCCGAGTGGATTTTCTTTTGCCACTTTTGTTGTGCAAGGCACTTCAAGAAATGTCAGATATGTCAGTGGAGGTTCTGAGGAAGTTGAGAAAAAAAGGAAAACATGCAGCTTCAACCTACAAGCCAATTTGAATCATGGGATTCAACTATGATGTTTTCATCCAATCATATACTAGAAGACTTATGAAGACTTCAATGCGGACTCGATTTCCCCTCTTCCAGTGCTGTCATTCTTGTACCTACGTCTTGCAGTGTTCTGTCGCTCACCCAGTGAACAACTCCGAACACCATCCCTGCTCGTTTGGGATCTGCCCCCACCTTCATCAGTCCCTCTACCTCTCGTCCCTGATGTCAGGTGATCTGCGAGGAGGTGAGTGGAATTAACCCAAAAGATGACCCAACAGCGGCCATGGAGCCTCTTGGATGGAAAGATGGACCAGCGGCAGATGCTGATGATGACATGAAGGGTGTTGTTGCTTTTTGGTTCATTCCCATCACCTTCATTGTTTTCATTACTGACTTTGCATCAGTTGTTTTCCAGTGTTTTCCTTTCTGTGTACAATCATGTTATTCAACTGCTTGAGCACTGGGGGAGGATGTGTAACTGTTGAGGCACAAGAGCAGAATTTGCGTTGTGTGTGTTTCCGAGTATTGGTATGACAACCCATGGGCCTAGGAAGCTTTTGGAAGTACAAGTTCCCTCAGAAACTGGACGCCATATTACGTGGCGGGAGGCAGCAGATAAGAGTGACAGAAATTGAGTGATTGGTTGAACCGCCAACCATGTCTGAAGATGTTTGCTGATACTGAGGCTGTTATCTTCACCCAAAGCAAAGGTGATAGCATCTCGACTTGATAGCAGGGGAGGCAGGTCTCGAGGAAATGGTGCCAATGGAGGGGTTGCCCACAGCACTTTTTGCTATGATCTGTGTGGCTCGCACGTTCCACCAGCTTGGAGGATAGAGGGCTACTTCATGTTGCATCACTGTGCCCAATCATTGCGGGCAAACTTGCCAAGTGCATGGAGTGCAGGTGAGGATTGACCTTTCCTGAATTTCTCCAGTCTTCATCCGTACCTCGTCTACCCCTACCCACCCTATAGCTGCTCATTCGGCCCTGATGTTCAGCCAGGTCTTAGTAGGGCACCTGCCCTTCATGGGCCAATTCGCCGCTGCGGTGCTGCAGTCCCCAGCGGCGGCCGGACGCCTGGGAGGCCTCTTTCATCCAGAGACCTGGCGAGCAGCGGGAGAGCGGCCGTGGGCTAATGGGGCGGAGAAAGAAGGGATTTAGCAGTCGTTCTGGGTGATTTGTGCATGCCATATCAAGCAACAGATTGAGTTGGGTGTTGCTTAGAATATGCAGCCGACCTAGTTCATCATGGACAGCACCAAACCCTGCCTATACTGCCTAACTCTGATAGGCATTTCTTTGTCAAAAAATTTGTTTCAAGACATGACTGGCTTTGACCCAAGTCCAACATGTGACACTCTTCTGACCAAGATCGTAAAGTCAAGAATCAAGATGAAAATGTATAAATAGTCAGCGGTGCAGCTGGGGTGGGGGCATAATCATGCATCAGAGGGCTCAGATGTTGAAATTTGTCAAAGGGTTTGGGTTGGGTGTTCATGCAAGCAACATGAATCATCCAAAACGTTGATTGAAGTACATGAAAGTATACGTGCATCAGGCCAAGGTTTGTCCTATTGCCAATCATTTGTTTGAAGCCCTTGGATGATGGCTCCCACAGATCTCAGCCAAGGTGCAAATTCCCTTGAACTTGTTAAAGTTTTTTTGAACTGTTTGTTTCCTTTAGTTGACTCGCAGAATAAATTCCTTGTTCCTCCATTAGAAATGCAACCGAATGCACATCCAGGTCCTTCAAGCGCCTGTTCGGCGAACTGGGCACCTAGCCTACCTTCCGCGGTCGCGACTCCCGACGACCTTTAGGCGTCAGGCCTGGCGCTGAAGCGAAGCGATGCGAGCTGGCAGGAGGATGGAGAACTGGCGGCGAGCCCGTAGAGTCTGGAGATGTCTGGAGATGCCTGGCCATCCAGTCACCATGGGTCACTGGAAGCTGCATGGACCGAGGGGACAGTGCTGTGGAGAGAGTCGGACCAACGATTGGTTTTGTTCGCGCACTGATGGATCAAAAGTGATCAAAATAACATGTCTCAAGGACTATTCATGGTTTCAAGGTTTATATGTCCTGTTTCTAGCTATTTGTTGGACTCCTTTAGTAACTTCACTGGCTTTGGCATTGAGTTTTTGTCTAAATCACTGGGTTGGCTGATTGGCGGATTGGAGGAATTGCGGCCGCGGCCTTGGATTAGGACTGGAAGGGTGAACGCAGAGCCATTTGTGTGGCCGTTTTGGGAGTGTGAATTGAGTTGTTTCTGTTGATCGTGCGTACTGGATTCAAAAATACAGGTTAACCTTGACGGGTTTCGAATTCGCGACAAACCCCTACGAACCTACAAGAGTCAAAAACCATGGACTTGGACCATGACCTTCCATGTGACCTTTTGAAATCCCAAATGAGGTCAGTTATAGTCACTGAACAGGTCTCTTAGAGACACCAAAGAGGTCACTTTGAAGGTCCTGGAAATGGACGTACAATGACGTACAAACTAGACTAAGCTTCTGAGTTCACCGGGTTTAACAGCCTCAGCAGCATCCCCTTGGCTGAGTCTGGGAAGACGGGCTCTTCAGTCGTTTGTAACCTTCGTGTTGTTCGTCATTTCCACAGCTTCCAACGGATAGCCATTGGAGAACAAAATCTGACCCAGATGTGCCGATGACGTTGCCTTGAGGATGTAATTACACTTGCGGTAAATACAAGGGCATCGTCGCCAGTCACCAAGGCTGGCGTTGGATTCCATGCCTCCTGCCGAAAGCTCTGAGCTGTGTGCAAAAGAGGGAACAAAAAGGAAGTGTCGCGGCGAGCGTCGAAGGGCATGGTCAGAGAACGGACCCCAACAAGGTAAGTAAATCCAGTGACAAATGAAGAACTGGCCAGGCCAGCATTTGCAGACTGGTCCCTCATATGGCCAGCTGTGTTTGCCAACACTCTCATCCATGACTAAAGACCTAGCCACCTGGCCAGACGCTTGCAGACATGGTGTTTTCAAGACTGTGTTTGAGGGTTCAAGGTGCCTCGGCAGAGGATGGATCCCATCAACATCCATCAGCCATAATTAGCCTATTAATGTCCAACCTCAGATTTGTCCCATGTCTTGGCTACTAGTAGCAAGGCCAGTTTCGCCCCGGCCCTCGTAGCGTCCGACCGCTCCGTTCGTAGCGTCCAGTCTTGTTCTCTCTCCAAATGGGCCCAGTCTGACGACTCACATCTTCCCACAGCCTAACAGGCGTCCCTGTGAACAGGGTTTCTGGTTTGAGTTTGTACCATATAGGTTATCATTGATATAATGACATTTGCATGCATTTGCCAGGTAGGGGAGGGGTGGCGGGTTTCTCTGCTGGCCGGTTCCAACACCGCACGCCGACACCGCTGAGGACCAGCACTCCGCGGAGCGCGCCGACACCGGCCCGCGGGGGGATCCGTGCGGTGGGGAGGGCGACAGTGACACACGGTGACACGCACAACACACACCAATGATCGAAATGGATAAGATATATATCTATATATAGTCTACCTGGGCTTGTGTTATAGTTTCACCTAGCAAGTCTTTGGGCGTTCATTGTTTGGTTTCGGCAAAATTTCTATACTCATTATCCAACTGTTTTTGTACGAGACTCGACCCTGAGCAAAGGAAACATCGCGATGTGGTGCCAAAAACTATAAAATAGAGACTCTCTTCGGTCCGCAAAACGGAACATGCACGGCGCCCGAAGCACCACACCACACTCTTTCACCTCAAAAAGACACGTGCGCGGCTGGAGAACGTGGACGTCCAACCCCCCCCCCTCCGTGCCGGGCGACGCCAGGAGCGCCGCGCCTCCAGTGTGGGTGGACCCAAGCCCCGAGGAGCGCCCTTGACCTTGCCCAGGCGCCCGGAGCCGTCCGGAGCCGTCGGGAGCGGGTGTTCGGGACCGAACACACGGCGCAAACATAAGTATCCTCAGAGTGATTGTCAGGACCTCAGATCAAAAGACAAAGAAGACGATTTCAATGATTGACATTGAAGATTTAAAGACCAATGGATAAGAATGGCAGTAATTATTGCATCAGTTTTGTGCGGTTGTTTGCCTTGTTCGACTTCATTGAGAGATCCTGAGAGTTTTTGAGTGGTTCAGCAGCTGTATATTTTGTGGCTGAAAGATTAGTTTCTTTGGTTCCTTGAAAGAGGCTGCCAGTGAGTTGCTTCCCATGTTGGCTATGAACTGTTAAGACTTAGTTATTGCATTTTACCTTGTGCCATAAGTTCAATCCCGATTTGGCACAGGGTGCAGTCAGTGAGCTGTTCAGGGCTTAAGTCCTGCGTTCGAACCTGGCGAGAGACCACACAGCTTACACCTCCTGAACAAAAGTCCGATGAAATGCAACACCTGTGGAACTTTGTATATTGTAATTTACACAACATGACATGAGTTCAGTTCCCCATTAAGGTCTTCGTCATGCTGGAGGCCATCGCTAGTAGGTTGGAGGCCATTGCTCTTAAGTTGGAGGCCATCGCTAGTAGGTCGGAGGCCATTGCTATTAGTGTGTATGCTCCGCATGACCTCAGCCAGCCCACCAAAGCATGCACTCCAACCAGCTCGCCTTCGCAAGGCGTTTGGCTGATAGCGGACCAACGCAAGGACGGCGATGGTTTTGGGCGTTGGAGTTCGTTACGACAGTTGCGGTACTGACACTGTTCAATGTCCAAAGGTCATTGCTGGTACAGTGTGTGGTCGGGATTGTCTTCTGAACTTGATGGAATATGGGAAGATGGTTGGAGTTCAAGTTCGAGCCCAACAGACGAATTTCTTCGTAGACTCGAGTGAAAGCGCATGTTGCAATCTTCCTGGACGTGCATTCTGGAGCCAAGGGCGGCCAATGGCCTGTTTGGGGCAACCGTCACCTTCCGGTGGCCACCTCGTTGGGTCCGACCGGTTTTCCACCGGTCCGTCCTGAAAGACACCGGAAGTGGATCGTGTGGATCAATCTCACCCCAAACACACCCTCAGAGGTGTTTTTGGGTCAATCAAATGCAAGGTCGTTGTGTGCAAACTGGCCACCTTTGGATCAAGCTCTTTCACTCGGGCACCAACATCGGTGATGGAGTCGCAGTGTCGAAACCGGGTCACTCAGGCCTTTTGGCGAGGCTTCCTTCCGAACCAAGCAAACTCGACCAAACGGATGCATTTCGTTTGCATCGGCCGACCATGAGCAATCCGACATGGATGGGAGAATCGGCGTGGTTTTTGAGGAGCCTTGTCGCACCGTGCGCTCGCGCACCAGGCGGGAGCAAGACTTGAGTGAGAAGTCCACAGCCCAAGTGTAATTAAATGAATATTGAAGTTTACTATATGATTTACTATATGCATATGTTTAGAGAGAAACGGTGTTGAATAATGTTGAACACATTTCGGGAGGGATTTGCTTTTGGTATCTACATGCTCTACATGTTACGGTCACTATATTATAGGATAATGTACCCAGACATCTAGGATGGAGCCGTTTTGGCTCTAGACTCTGGTTTGGAAGCCCTCAGACCCATGTGTCGAGCAGAAGTGCGGCGGAACGAGGATTCGAGTGACGAGTCGTGCGAAGACTGGAAGGAAGCGAAGGAAGGCCAGGAAGGCTCTGCCTCCAAAGCTTCCTGTCCCTGCGCGAGAGAATCTTCCGCCATGGATGAAGAGATTTGGGACTTTCGCTTGGTTGAGCAGGGCACCTTTTTGGAATTCCTCCCTGAACACGACTTGAGGATGTCGAGGTGTGCCAGTGCCCCAGCACTGCTGTACCGCGGTGGTGACGGTGGCCGCGTGACCTCCGAAGATGACCATGCCGTCCCAAGCAATTTAAAGGGGGTGGCGATGGATGCCCGGTTTTGTTTTGGGTGGATTGTTATTTTCCAATATGTTTCCTATATGAATCCATATGAATTCTTTTGTGGGGGAGATGAGCTATTGTCTCCTGCAGTTCAAAAATAAGCAAATCCAAGGATGCAATGGTTTGCTTCGAGCGTTTGACCACCTGCAGCACCATGGATGATGTGGGTGATGCCGATGCCGTCGACCTCCCCGCGGGCATGTGGCAGCCGAAGGCAGAGTCCCCCAGCGCTTCGGAATGTGAGGTTTATTCAATGAGACCTTCTCAGGGTTCTGCACTTCATTCACAGGGTCTTTGCAAGCCGTGCGCATGGTTCTGGCGGCCAGGGAGCTGTTACCGGGGAGTGGATTGCCAGCATTGCCACCTTTGTCCTCCGGGCGCTTTGAGGGAAATGAAGCGCCACCATCGAAGAATGGCAAAGGCATTTCGGCCCAAAGCCGCGGGTCCCGGGCCACCAGCATAGATCGAATCCCATCCGATGAATGCTCTAGCGTGCAATGACATTCATAGCTGCTGAACGGCAGTCACATTCATCGCTTACGCAGCGAGTGAAGCTCAAATGTGCACGGACACGGCATCAAGCTGGTTTTTTTCTGTCTAGGGTAATTTGGCCTGGTGCGGGAGTCTCGGGCCACGAACGACGTTTGTCGTCGCTTATGTGTGAGAGGCCAACGCATCAGTCAAAATGAAACATTCCTGCATGCCAACTCAAAGGCAAGGCAGCTCTTCTTGACAGATTTGGGCCTGCCATCGACAGACAGGACAGGTCTTCAATCTAAGAGTTCGACTTGACTGGATTATTCTGGCAATCTTTAGCTCGTAGAAAGCCAGCTTGCCAGTTTGTAAAGTGTACAGTTCAGGGATCCAGATCTTGGACGGTTTTGAAAACGACAGTGCAAGAAAACTCAAGCGGCCTCAAGCGTAGAAAGGCGTAACGACGAGTGCAACGACGATTTCATCCCGAATCCTTCATTTCCAGGGTAAGGCCGCTTCTTTTGTTGTGTTCCAAACTTTGTGAACTTGTGTCGAGTTTCCAGACCATGTCTGTTCAATTCGTTGAATGTGTTAAAGCTTAATTTGCTGCGAATGTTTGGGGTGTTCCTGGCAGATGGAAATCTGTCACAGGGACCTGGCTTCGAGCTACCCTTTCATGCCCTTTCCTGATTGTATGAAAAACATATATATAATATATATATATATAACAACGTGTTATGCACTTTGCAAGTAGTGGCTGATCAGCAAGTTGGTTAGCAACAAGTTATGTAATATATAATACCTATGCTTTCGATCATGTTTGCAATTACAAGATTTACAAGCGCCAAGTGTATCCAATTGTTGAATGATGTTGAATGATGTTGAATGTATGTCACAAATCTCGAGCTTCTTTCTGCCCTGCTCCGGCTCCCTGTGTTTTTATTTGCTTACCTGCTCTGTTTGAACCATTTGAAGGTCTCCCAACCTCAAGCAGTGCCTGCACCAGGTGACGGGGTGAATGGGGGGTCAGAAGCTGGGATTGCCAAGTGTTCAACATCCCAGAAAAGGTATTGCAAAACCAAGCTATTGCCGTGTTCAATCATGTGTTTATAGTGGTCAACGTTTTATTCTGGACTGTATGTGGTCATGCATTAAATGTTCACTAATTTGAAGGATACTTCTGACTTCAGTCTTTCAATCAAAGTTATGCGGTTCTTGAAAAAAAGGCCAACACGCTAAGGGCATCGCTACTAGGAACAAGAATATACTAGGGGCTCCTGGCCGAACTACTAGGAGCAAGGACGCTACTAGGGGCTCCTGGCATCGCTACTAGTAGCATTCTTACTCCTAGGAACAAGAAGCTGTTCTTTTTGTGCCAAGAGAACGGTGCTTTTTTCCCTCCAGGTCCTCCTCCGGCCAGCGGAACAGCTCCGTGGCGACAGGCGTTGAGTCGTCGCGACGCAGACGCGCGAGCGGAACGGCTCGGTACAAGCCAAGAGTCCTGGACAAGGGGGGTGGTACAGAAGTGCATCAAAATGAAGGGGCTCCTGGCATCGCTAGATCAGACATCAGCTCCCGATTTCTCAACTAGAGCCACTAGAAGCAAGTACGAGGTTTGTGGATTGCGGAAGCGAGTTCCTCACGAAGATGTCAATCCCTGCAGAAGGATATCAAATCGTTCTCCGAAGTAGGTCAGTCCACCTAAACCCTCAAGTTCAGGCATCTCAAGGACGCGACGAATTAGTCCACCGACTATTGGTAAAATATGTGTGTATGTGTATGTGTAAAACCCCGTCTCCAGTGCTCCATTCCACTGACTTTCTCACACCAAGTTTGAATGCTTGAATTCGACTAGTTCAGTCGGTCAGCAGGGGGACGGGAACCGATTTGCCTATCCAGTCCATCGAAGCTATGGCATTTCGGTGGATGAGTGGTCTGATCAACCACTTGTACCTGCAGAGTGCCATCGATGAGGTAACCATATTGCTTCTGACTTTTTTCCTTTCCGTTTGCTCAGGGCCATTGCAGGTTTATGAGGTTGTTGCTGCACTAACTATATAGATCGCAAAGAGTGATCCATATTTGGCACCACTCTGAATTACTTTCTCACGAGCTTCTTCTCAAGTGTGTGTTCCACTGCCCACTAATTGCTTCCAACTTCGGAAAATGGAAAGCCACGCATAGATGAGGCACCGATTGTACCGGGGCCTGACAGGGTTTTATCTAGGTACACATCAGCATCCATGCAAGATCCTTGTGATGTTAGATGTTTTGGAAACTGATCCTGGAATTTGCGCCATTGCAGCGTGAACATCGATTTGGTCGCATCTCCCCCCATTTTCTGGACATTTTGCCTTCAGAACGGCCTTCGACATCATATGCACTAATCATGTAACGTCCAGGTGTCTCGAGGCCTGCCTCAGCGCTGGCAAGGCCGCACGGGTCCAGGAGACCCACCGTCGGTTCGGTGGCTGGCACTGTGTTTGGTCGAAGCAGAGTTGCAATGACCATCCCTAGAGCTGGCCCTCCTGAGAAGATGGTTGGGGTGGGTGCCAGGGGGGTTTAACCACCTGAGGATATGGTTGGAACCGGCATGTCTGACGTTGACCAGGGAAATCCACTTTGGGCAGAGGTCGCAGCCTCCATTGAGAAGGACTATTGGCTGTGCTCGTAATGTTCGAGCGCAACTCAGCATCTAAATGTGTCGAATTCAGTGTTGAGCGGCCCCAAATCAGTGTCTGGTCAAGAAACCAGCTGTTGTGGTACAGAAGTCTTCCTCAAAGTTGGCCGTAATAGTCACACTTAGATGGTGGAGGCGTTCGCAAAAAATGACATTGTTATTTGGCGAATTTGGCTGAAAACCATATGAGAATTCCAAGGAATTATGAACAAGACAATTCTTTATCCTTTTAAGTTTGTATGTGCTCTCCGATTGCAGTGGCATTGCAGCTTCTGCCTCCAGGCAGACCCGGCTGAGCCTCCAAAGCTGATGCTCCGCACGGATCAGGTCGAAAAGGGCTCCGCACCTGGGATGGAAGGGCTTAAGAAAGCACAGACCAATCACCCAGACAGGGATGAATATTCCGAAAGTCCTTTTTGAAATTAGGTGTTTACAGGTGTTGGAACTGTCGAACTTTGTTTGTCAGGAAGCAGCGTGATGTGCCCTGTACCAAGAACTGCCCAGTTGGACCCCCTCCGAATGTGTAGATTCCCCATATATGAGTTGATCATGTAGGAGGGCACCTTTGCAATTTCTACAAGAGTGTGCTTTGCCGTGGTGTAACAGAAGCTCTGTCCATCATCAAGGAAGAATCAGTGCTGGATGTGCTTTCCTCACATTCGATGAACTTTGCCGACACATCATCCAGGGACTTTGCTGGGCGAGTAGGCGTTCATGAGCTTGGTTGCCAGAAATGAGTGCTGCTTATAATCTCCGCATTTCACACCATGTGATTTGTGGGATACACACGTGCTCGATATCTGTAGACTTGGATCATGATTCACGTCAACCTTCCGTGGGGTGGGTTGCGAAGTGCAACAGGGTTTGCGTGATCCAAGGCTCTTGCGCACTGGCCTTTTTCAAGACACCTGCAGAACAAACCAATGACCAGGCGTTTACTGTTGGGGTTCTCACTTAGCGAAAGGAAGCTGCACCAGTGAATGATGTGTCCGATCCTGCTGACCCCCTACTGCTACCCTTGCAAAGCCAATTGTCCACCCACACCACAAGAAATGCAGCATTTGGCCTTCCAAAGCTCACAGATAGCACGATAGCACATGCAGACTGCGTGCCTAGTGAAGGACAGTCACAGCTGATTTGCGGACTTGTGCCAGACAGTTCGAATAAGATTGACGGTCGAAGATTTCATAACGTTTCAGAACTGCAGCAGCAACTTGGAAACCCATTGTGTTGTTCCTCCTCCCATGGCACTATTGACAGATGACGAGTGTCAGGCGCAAGATGCGGCCATTGTTGCATGTGAAGTTGGTAACCTGCTGCATAAGTAATTAATGTTATTCCTCTTGATTGACAGGTTCGGTGGCACCTAAATGTGGAAGTTATTGTTATCGTACGACCCCAGAGCGTGTCATTGGGTTCATCACGCAATGAGTTTCCGAGGTGGTTTGATTCAACAAGCCTGAGCGACCGCTTTCCATGCTTTCTCCAAGAACAAGTTTTGTGACTGTGTTTCTCTCGTTGCTTCAAGACTGAAGCTCAGATAGAGTGCTTTCAGGATCAGACAAACACCATCAAACACCTATGTTTCACCCAAATCACCGAACTCACCGACCTAGGAGATGATCCCAGCCACCTCCCCAGCCCCTCCAGGCCGATGTCGTGGTCCTAGGCACCGGTCTCACCGAGTCCATCGTCGCGGCGGCCGTGGCGCGCAGCGGCCGCCGCGTGCTGCACCTGGACGCGGCGGAGACCTACGGCGGCGCCGGGCGGAGCCTGCCGCTGCGCGAGCCGCGCGGCCGGGAGGAAGGGCGCCCAGAGGATGGAAAGGATCTGAGGAGCTTCAACTGGGCTAATGTTGACTCTTGATTAATAAACCCCCCCCCCCCCCGGGCCCCCCCCCCTATCAACAATTGAGACTCCAGAACAATATGATAGAAAAACAATCAATTGATAAATAAATAAGGAATCCTTAGCTAGCTACCTCTGAAGCTACTCTGGCAATACTAAAATGAAAGGAATCATTACTTAGCTATCTCTGGCAATACTAAAAAGCCTGTAAGATAAGCAAATCTCAGCAAACTCAAAAGGGAAAAAGTAAACTATAACAATAAAAAATATCCCACTACAACTACCCCTCCCCCAAAAAAAAACATTATTCTGGGGGCCTTTATTAATCTGTGCAGGAAAAAAGTGTCACTATTCTGGGGTACGTTATTAATCCAGGGACAACATTATTGGCTATCTTGGCCATTGGCAGGGAGAATTCAGACGTCCTCGCGAATGAAAATATATAATGTGGAAAGCACCCTGTTGGTAATTGCGGAGGACACATGATTTTTTGAGTGGCAGGCCTTTGCAAGAGAAAGGTAAAAAGCATTGTTTCCTACTTATGAAGCCAGACATGGGTGTAGATCCAAACAGAAATATATAACATATTCTAGCAGACAGTCCCCAGGTCAGGTTCCGGCTAGCGGTTTCTACATTCATGACTTGTCGATATTTAGTGAGCCGGGCCACAGACAGAAGCTGGGGTGGGTGTGTCAAACTCTAACTGGACAGCAGAGAAACCTCCTGGCCCAATTTGTGAGCTCATCGATATAATGTACTATTTGCATCTATTTCTGAGTGTTTATCAGTGTTTATCTTGCAACGAGACAAAGCTATTTCAGAGCATGTCAGGGAGGTGGTGCAGATACAACTGCGAGGGGTATGTTGAAGATCTTGCTGGCAGGTATAAGAGACCCATAGGTGGAAGCAAGGAAACATAGCCAGGAGATGGAAGGAGCTGGACAGATTATTGCCTATACCCATTGGTTCTTTGCCTTTCATATTTTGCCTTTACGTTTTGCAATGTTTTGCCTATTGTATCTGACTGATGTTCTTTGTGGTTTCACAAAACCAAGCGACTCGCTGTGGGTCATCGATCGAGAGGCACGACAGGACGGGCTAAACCTGAATCCTGTTCAATAGATTTTAGATGATTTTAGATCCTTCCAAGATCCCTGCAAACAGTGAACAAAAAAGAAGACTTGTGTGTGTGTTTTTGGTTGTTCGTTTGTTTATGTTTGATTCGTGTGTAAATTCTTACACCTGGCGCAGTCATAGACCGGCGCAGTCATAGTCAGCTGCTGAAGAGGTTGAATCGGGTGACCCCTCTCCAACGTGTATGTGGGCCCAAAAAAATCGATCCAAGCTTCACGGAATCCATTCCCCGGGCCGTAGATTCTTGATTGATAAACCCCAAATATGAAGATAAACATGATATATAAACGACACTGATCCTTATTTTTGGGGGGGACGGGGGTTACTTACCGATCTACATAAATCTGCGGATTAGGTGAATTCACCGGAACAACTTCTGACCACTCTTCACTCGGTCGGTTGCCCCGACGGTCAGACGTCGAGGTATATCGCCTGGGCGGGCGATGCCCGCGACGCGCGCATGCCGGGCGATGGAGTGCAGGTTCGCATAAGCGCGCACCTGCTCGCGCGGGTGTGTGTGTGTGTGTGTGTGCTGGTGTCTTTTTGTTCAGAGTCACCCGGGGTCTCACGGCTCTCAGCCAGTCCAGCCTTGGAGGTCGTGTTCGACTCGATCGTTTTTTGTTCGTCGGTCTTGTCCGTTCGTTTTGGAACCAGATTCTGTCCCTCAACTGACCAGCTGGGATCCTATACTCGGAGTTCTTTTTGGTTGCCGTGGTTGCCCCTCGGATTACTTACTTTGTAGGTAGACATCCCACCACACCTAGGACAAATGTCATTATTTGGTTGAAGTGGTTCACATTTCCTTGGTATCCCAGAATTCTCTCCAGGATGGGTGTACACGTACCAAGACACACATGTTGGGTGGCCGGTGGGGAATTTGGGCCATTCTTGAGTGTCATTACTTCTGCCAGTGAGGCTCAAAGATTCATGGCGTCACATGTCGGGGCCACCCTAACACGGCGTTCTTCCGCCCGGCCGGTCAAGACTGCCCATGGAGCCTGACGAGGCTGGTGTCCCATGGAGCCTGGGTGATCGCTTTTGTTGTCCGGATTCTTCAGTGGCAGTGTACCTTCAACGTATCAAATTTGATGGTCTGAACCTGGGAGCGATGCGTGGTGAATAACGTGGTGAATGTGGTACTGAACATGTCCCAACGTTGATGTCATTTTGTCCATTCAACACATGAGATATTTTTGCGGAGTTCTCTTCTATGCATATGATATGTGCTTGCCTTCATCAACCAAAACAGACTGGGAAACCTCTCCTAAGTGAGCAACCGTCAAATCTACAGTATATAAGTAGCCTTCAATCTCAGAATTTCAAAAAAGACAGGGAATCAATGAGACCGCACCAAAAGCAATGGCCAAAAGCGATTGCTCTACCCAACCATGAAGGATGAACAAGAGATGCCTCCCTTCCAAGCAGAAGTCTAAAATTTCCCAAAACCTGTGGGAAGCGATGGGATCAATCAAAATCTATGTGATGGCATGAGATTCAACAAGGTTTTTTGACAGCCAGCACAGATGGTTTTATCTCAAATGAAGAGGCCCCACACCCAGAATAGGATGACGGACTGGACCGCAACCCATTTGGGGTGGATGTTTCCTTTTGGACATGTCTTTATCCACATTTTTATCAACGGCTCATGACTCACAGATGGATGTCGTTCATATCAGTTCATTCACTCTTTAAGGAAGAAAGCATGCAGTCCGCAAGGGTTGTCAGAAACTCCAAGATTTTCAGCCATGCTGCCAGATTCTAGACATCCCATGATCAGATATACTGATATACTACCATAATATACCATATTATACCTACCATTGAAGCTCAGGGAAGCCCCCTTCTCTTTTTCTGCTCAAACAAACCCAGCACGGGAAGGAAGCGCGGAAGATCCTCAAAAAGGCGGAGGACCTCTTAGTGCTGGGGAAGATCTTAGAAGCGCTCGAACAGGCCGAACCTTCTGCCGCTTGGGAGGGCATGCATGGCTGCACAACAGAGCTGACAAAGGTTGGTCAAGTTGAGTAGTGTTTCTTGGCCTTGGGCGGTTACATGTGTGTACTTGTTGCTTATAGAGACACAGTGTTGACTTGCCTGTGCTTTCTTCCACATACACGGGCATGCATTGCCATGCTCATTGAAAACGTTCTTGATGGACTGATACTACTACTGCTAAATGTTTGCACTTGAACGGGTCTGGATTCATATTGCACTCCACTGAAGCCCCGCCCCCCCAAGAACATCACACTCAAGCAAGCTTTCCACATTTGCTTGAACACCATATTTCAAAAAGAAAGAAGCACTTTTCATGTGGCGCCAAGACCGACTCACTCTTCAGCCATGGTTTACCGTATCAACTTGCTTCACCCCCCTTTCACCACTCTGATTCCACTCCTCCACTTTGCGCCCAGTTTCGGCCGTGCCACACCCGTGTTTCGCCCGTCGCCCCGACGCCGACCTCGCCCGACCTCCGTCCGTCTCCGTCCAGAGCGTCCGGACGGCCAGACGCCGCTCGACGCCTCGCCGCAGCGAAGGCGCAGATCGCTCGGGACTACTACCTCGAGAGCGGGGACACCGCTCTCGAGGCCGAGGCCTTCCGGATCGAGGCCGGGAGGAGCTCCGAGGGCTGCCGAACATCAGGAGCAAGGGAACGGACGAGGGTGGTGAGAGGAGCGCGGCGCAGTGGTGCGGTGCTGAGAACGAAGTTCGCAAGCAAGTCCCAAGTTTTGAGGTGTGGGCCAGGCTGGTGAAAGCAGAAACATGCTGAGCTGAAACATGGTTGCGCATGGTTGTGCAACCAACCAAACCTCGAAATACCAACCCCACGACCGCACGACCCCACGAACACGTCCACCATTCGTCCACAGACCGATGTCCACCGATGTGGTTCCGATCGACACCTTCGGCACGGAGCCCTTGCTGTCAGGTCTTGGCCAAGCAGCATGATGGCGAGTATGGTGCCGTCAACGGCGAGCCCACGGTGCGGAGCGCCCTCTCCGGTCGGTGAGTGATCGGGATGGGAGTGGCAAGGACATGTCGCGGTGGTCACAGGGTCTGAAGACCCAGACCCAGCAACATCATGAAGATCAGCCACAGAGTTGGGTTTGAAGCACATTGCTGATATCCTTTATTTGAGCAGGTGTTCGAGTGGCTGCCAAACCTCCTACCTTGATCATACTATAACTGACCCAAACACACCCCGACACCTAATGTAGACGATTGTTGATTAAACATATTATACTGTATATATAACCGCTGGCCCTGCCAGAATGGGTTTACGTCTCCATTTCATCAATAGTCTAGATTATGGCACCTTGCAAGTGTCCCTCGAAAACTGCGCAGCACTGCCGCTTGCGGGAGACCGAAGGTGAAAGCCCCAGAGATCGATTTGCTTTGTGAGATCGAGCTAGCTCGCTTCCAAGCTGCTGAGCACTTTAAGGCGGAAGCAGCAACTTGGAGGCTAAAAATCGGACTGGGATCGGCTGGGATGCAAGCTTTTAGGGAGACGTGTGTCTGTGTGTGTGTGTGTCCACACCTGTGCCTAAGGTTTTCAGTCACAAAGAACGCTACTAGGGCCCTTGGTTTTGCTACTAAGGGCTCCTGGTATTGCTACTAACATATAGTTTCTCAGCGCGGAAAAAAGAGGCAGGGGGCCACAGACCTGCCACTGCTGCTGTGGCCAACGAAGACCGGCAGTGGTAGGTGTGAAAACGTACCTGCAAAACTGTTTAAAGCGGCTAATGCATAGGCGGTCTGCTAGGTATTCGGTAAAGCGGCTATTGCATAGGCGGTCTGCTAGGTATTCAGTAAAGCGGCTAGTGCATAGGAGTTGAAACTTTGTTAAACATCTACAAGTTCGCCGACTCAGCCACCTTTCGGTTTGTGCTTCATTCCGTGCATCAAGTCAAGGGGAACTTCGTACTGATACTAGCTCTTGCGAGCAACAATCTAAGTGTGTTTTCGCCACAGGGTCCCACTGAGGGCTGTGGTGTGATAGACCCAGATCCTGGGGGATACCATGCCGCAGGGCTTACTGAGACTCACACTCTAGTCCGGACTTACATTTTGGATTGACCGTCTTTGCTTGATACCACTGATCCAGTGCCGCAGGGCTTACTGAAACTGTGCCGCAGGGCTTACTGAGATTTCAACCGGTTCGGATTTGCACCTTCATGCCCGTCTAAGTAATCACAGGCGGGGCTTAGGACGCGGGCATGTCAAACCACCGACTGCTTTTGTTGCATGTGCTTTTCATGCTCTTCGGTTCTTTCTCTCTTTTTGTTGTTTTTCGTTTCTTGAGTCTTTCAGACAATGGGTTGCGCCGGCCCAAATCGGCTTTACTTGAATGCCAATGATGGCAAGCCTACGGGCCACCCTAACCCACCCTCCCCCCTACCTCCCTGCCCCTGGGCCTCCGTTGCTATCCCACCCGCTATTCGGGCAACAGAAGGAAATCGCACTCAACACACTTGTGTGTTGGTGCCTTTCCTTCTGTTTCTCCTTTCCTATTGCTAGCTACCCGGGCGGTTTAAGACAAAATGTCCCGCCCGCGTTCTACTTTCATTTAACTAAGTGGGCCTCGTAACTACACCTATCTTTCTTTCTTGCCCTCTTAGTCTGCTTTTGTTTTGTTTGCTCTCACTGTCTTTCTTAGGCTTTTTAGGTGGCTAGTACTTTTCAAAAAGCGCCAATATTGGCGCTATGTGTACAAAGCTTTGCGACACAAACAACGCTACTAAGGGGCCTCTGACCTTTCTACGGGTGTAAGGACGCTACTAGCGACTCCTGGCCACGCTACAAAACTGCAAGCAAGGGACAGTGCGCCGAGTACGGCTTCGTGTGTGTGTGTGTGTCCACACCTGTGCCTAAGGTTACTAGGGCCCCTGGTTTTGCTACTAAGGGCTCCTGGTATTGCTACTAACATATAGTTTCTCAGCGCGGAAAAAAGAGGCAGGGGGCCACAGACCTGCCACTGCTGCTGTGGCCAACGAAGACCGGCAGTGGTAGGTGTGAAAACGTACCTGCAAAACTGTTAAAACTGTTTAAAGCGGCTAATGCATAGGCGGTCTGCTAGGTATTCAGTAAAGCGGCTAATGCATAGGCGGTCTGCTAGGTATTCGGTAAAGCGGCTAATGCATCGGCGGTCTGCTAGGTATTCAGTAAAGCGGCTAATGCATAATTGTTAAGCATCTACAAGTTCGCCGACTCAGCCACCTTTCGGCTTGTGCTTCATTCCGTTCATCAAGTCAAGGGAACTTCGTACTGATACTAGCTCTTGCGAGCAACAATCTAAGTGTGTGTGTGTGTGTGTGTATGTGATTGGATGCTCCAGTCAGTGAAGTTTGAGCTCGTATCATTAGGAGTTTCCTAGGAGGGAATCTGAACAATTACAAAAAATCAACATTGGGATATTGGAGTTTCTTTTGTTGGGAAAGAGAAGAAACCGCAGACTGTGGACTTTTTCGCTTGGCTTGTTAAGAGCTG